TTTTTTTTATTCAGACCATTAAATGTATACAAAAATATGACGCCGCTTTTGACTTAAATAAAATATAATGTCGCAAAATTCTAACAACACTTACAGCTCTGTTCCTACGCAATCACGAAACTCCTCGCATCACTATTGTGCTTACAAATGTGCCGCAAAAAACATATTTTATATATAAAAATATATGAAGAACATTTTTATTTATATTTTTGCATTTCTTAAGCTCTTAAAATCTATTATTTCTTAGTGTAGTTATCACATTAGTGATGCGAGATAAGTTTTGTGATTACTTGGGAATAGAGCTGCTTAAGTAACAAGTGTCAAAAAGTGTTGATATTTAAAACAAAAAATAAAATAAAAAAGCTTACCAATGTTACAAATTTAGGCATGAGTTATTTGTATGTTATATCGCATATTAAGTATGAATGAAAACTAAACAAAAAAATTAGTGAGTATGTAATACAATTCAATGTGGAATGAGGAGCGTATACATACATTACAATGTATTTACAATCGCATACTGTACTGTGCTGTTTGTTTTTTATAAGAGAACAAGTGAAAGATGTTGAGCCGCTAGGTTATAAGCAAATACATATATACATAGTTATAATACATACATAAAATTATCAGTAGATAGAGAAGAAAAATAAAATCAAAGATTTGTTAGTGAAATAAGCGAAGTTTTTTCATTTCAATTGTGCCGGGAGGATTTCAGAGGTGGATGAAAAATGTATCTTTACATATGCTTCATTTTTAGCTTTTAATTTTCATGTTGTTACATGGTTGGATAAACATAAACAAAACACCTTAGGCTTTTACAGCATCAAACAAGAAGCCGCGGAAAATCGTGCTGGGAGTCTCCGGAAGCTACTCGGCTTTGACATACAACAAGTCGTGTGTGCGCAGCTAGCGAACTGTTGCGACATACACATACTAAGACAAAAAAATGTTGCGCCGGTTTTGGTAGCTCAGTCGACGCTGTGCACCACTGGCCAAGGTCCTAAGACCTCCCAGCGATGTGTGTACCTAGCCTTGCACCTAGCACCTCTTTCCTTAGCGTTGAGAGATCCCCAGGCCACCACACGATTTTGACCATACCTTTCGGCCTGGCCGTTACAGCTAGAGTTAACGATGTCAGCAGTAAGAACGCCGTTTAGCCTGTTAAGTTGTTGTTTTAATTTCATGCAATCTTTGCTCTAACTTGGGCTGGTTAATGCCAATTAAATTTCCAAAGGTGTACCTGTTCGTATTCCTGGGGTTCCGCTGAAGATCGCATTTCGCTCCTAGCACAAATTCGATGATTCTGTGGTCTGACATGTAGAAGTCCGATGGAACTGTCCATTGTGTGATCAGTGTTGGCGACAATTTACGGGTCGCTGAGGTTATTACATTACATACATAGTCTGTTGCTAATAGCTAAGTTATGCATACTTTGCACTGCTATACCATGTTTACGTAAAAATCAACACCCAACAGACTTCTACATGTGAAGTACTATGCGTTGAGTAACCGCTTACACGCAAAGCTCATTTAACAGACTCCTTATGTGGCAACGCTCATGCAAGGGAGACTTTGCCTTAGGTTTTTTTCAACAAATTATAACAAAAATTTGCTCCAGCCTTTGCTGAAAGGTAAATAAAAGCTCTGTGTACATTTTTAGCGCATAATTTCAAAAATGTCAAGTTTTCAGTTATGCTTCTTTTGAAGAAGGTGTGCGAAATATCCATACATACATACGTGGGGCCAACATTTTCTTAATCAACAATCTTTGCCCCTTGGTGATAAGAAAATCACTTAGGTTAGCGAAATGTTGAACTGATTTGATTTAACATGCTTATGCGACTTTAAAAAAGAAGTTAGAAGAATCATAAATGGAAATTGATATAATACAAGTAATTTTTAAGCAAAAAACAAAACCGACTTCAATTCTCATATAAACATTTAGGAGTACCGTTGATTTTTTCATGATCCCATCCATGAACGGATCTAAACCAAAAACCTTTCCGATCAAAAGTCGAAATTGGTTATCGTGGACAAAAAAAAAAAAAATATTCCGATGAATTGATAACATAATGCAAGTTGAAAATGGAAAATTTTAAGAAGAGTAGTTTTTAACGGTACTGAACTATACAAGCAGAAAACTCCCCTGGTAAATAATAAAAACTGCTAGACTGAAACAATTACATATGCATTTCTTTATTTACGAGTTTACACATTGATTTGCTAAATTTTAAGTTTATTTTATGTAAGTACTTATTAAAAAAAATATATATGCATACACATGGATACATATTATTGACTTCTACATTTCTCCCAGTTCCAAAGGACAGTGGTATTGCAATGCTGTCCATATGTATATAATATCGAGCCCTAACCGCCAAAATAACGTAAGCCACATTTTTTTCAAAATTTTCTTTTTGATGCAGAAATGCATCTAGATGCTCTAGGAATATTTCTGCATCAAAAAGAAAATTTTGAAAAAAATGTCGCTTACGTTATTTTGGCGGTTAGGGCTCGATATATACTTAATATTATGCATTTGATTAAAAAAAAAAAATATTCACGCCTTTTACATGACGTTCATTTACCAAAAGACTGCCTCAAAACTCAAAAACGCTAATTTTTTGGCAAATGATGCAGTATTATTCGTTATATTATGCTTCTTATTGAAAAAAAAAGAATCGTGATAAAATCTTGTGTAGGGTTTTGCATAAGAATAAACCATGCATCTGATTTTTTCTACATTTTATGACCAAATTGTAAACATTAACGGCGTCTTAGGAGAAATTTCAACTTTTGAGTTGTGACAGTCTTCAGGTAAATTTGATTTTTATATTATTTTATATGCAGCTCTAATGGTAGTCAAATCCAGAATGATTTAATACCTAAAAACAAATTGCCCATTTGCAAATTCAAATGGAGATTCGTTCCACCTTTTATTACAAGCGCGCAATTAGGCTTCATCGTTTGCTTCATCGCTACTCTCTGCTGTGATATTTTCCTGTACCAACACTTCATATTCGGTAGTATGCACCTCAATTCCATTGTACGGCATATACATTACCCTATGGGAAGGATGCACCTTACCCAGCAGCGTTTTATCGTTATACTGTGCACGTGCCACATATAAATTTTCACCCAATTCAGAATAACCACCCACAATGGCACCCTCTGGTATGTGACCATCTGAATCGGCTACCCATTTGTGTTTGAAATTATTTAGCAGCTCAACATTTTGACTGAAAGCATAACCGTTGCAGCCATGAGAAGCGTATGCAACACCTTTCGCTGGCACATAACCAGCAGGCAGTAGATCATCTTGAAAATAGACACGAGCGACATATGTAGGATTACCATCAGGATCCGTACCAGTTTGAATGGCTTCGTCTGCTTCGGGCGGTGCCAAAGGGACACGCGGTGAGCCACGCAGCTCTAATTCGAAAAGTGGTGTCCAAATGGGCATATTTGCATAGACATCGGCTGCAGCGGTATTAGTCCATTTGAGATCTAGCTCTGTACGTTCACCGTAATTCAAAAAGACTGGATGTACTCTGCTGCGAGTGCAGGGCCGTCGACACTCCGGGCATGATTTCGAATGATTCAATGCGGCGAACAAGCATCGATTGTGAAATAAATGACCACAGGTTGTAGAATATATTCGATCTGATTTCTCGTAGAACTCAAAACAAATTGCGCACATAACATTCAGGAATGTAGGTTTCTTTGTGTCCGTGGTGTTCGTGGTGTCCGTGGTGTCCTTCTCAACTTCATTTACTTCCATTTTAAATTAAATGGTATAATTAAATTTTACAAATTAGACAAAGGATGCGATCACTTTTTGTACGAACGACGTTTTCTTTTGACCAATGACTCAAAAAATTTACAAAGAAGCAACAAATAACAACAAAACAAGAAATTGGCAAAAAACAAAACCAAAACAAAATTTAAAAAACATAGTTGCCGGACAAAAGGAATTTCGCGCATAACGGTGAAAATTATTTTTATTAATTTAATTTGTGCAAGTTTAAATAAATTTAAAATTAGCTACATTTGAACAGGAGAAGTTCTCTGGATATGTTTTTCTTGTTGAATAAAAATCAAAACGCGTTGTTACGCGTGTTTGCGATGTTTTTGCGATTTTTCGATCACACTGCCTCCAAGACTGCTATTTTCCCCAGTTCACAGTAATGATATTTGAATACTAATCACTCTGTACGGTTCGACCGGATGCCGTTTGTTCCCAAACAATGTCAAAGAACGTAAATTTGGAGAAACACGCCAAAGTTTAAGAACCAAAAAAATCGATTGCAGAATTTTCATGCATTTTTAACACTGAATTTGCCTACAATTGTTACAAATAAATGGTTCATTGAAATAAATTTGGGTGCAAACATTGTTATATGCTTATAAGGTTAATGAAAAATACGCTGTAACATTCAGCGCACGGCAAAACTTTTTGGCCCATCGACAAGACGGGTGTAGAGACGGCAAAAAATAAAATAAAATTAGAAATGTCATCGAGTGCTGATACCGGAACAGGAGCTGGCGTTGGTGACGCTCTCGGTGATAGCGAGTGAGTTGCAGCTGTCTGTCGACTGTCTGAGGAGGATGGTCGAGTGTTGTTCGCAGCAAAAGCCAATTAATTGTTTTTACCAATCTTACTAAAATTTCTTCCGACGATTTCTGACATTTGCATTGCAGTTTAGAGCAACGCAGCCCTGATCGGTCATCTGGCGGTGGAGGTGGTGGTGCGTCGAAGAAAAAATTGGGAACCGAAATTGGGAAAGCAGCTGCTGAAAAATCGCGTGGCCTCTTCTCCGCTGAGGATTGGCAGTGCAGCAAATGCGCCAATGTAAATTGGGCTCGTCGGCAGACTTGTAATATGTGTAATGCACCGAAATTTTGCGACGTTGAAGAGCGGACCGGTGAGTGTTAATTGTCGTAGTTATACCCTTTTATGTTATAAAAAAGATCAAAATAGCTATAGGTAATGAATAGATTCCTCTAAAACATATTCTCATTTTTTGGCTATATAGGTTACGGCGGTGGTTACAATGACCGAGGCGTGGTCGAGTACAAGGATCGTTCTGATTCAGACAGCGATTATGACGAATATGGTCGTCTTAAGAAGCGCAAAATGAAGGACAACGAAAAATCCAATGAAGATGACAAGGAATATGATGACACGGATGAAGACGCACTCGAAGAGGAGGAAGATGAAGAAGATGATGGTGGGGACCTTTCTAAATACGATTTGTGGGGCGACGATGAAATTACTCCTGTTACTCTTGTTACACCCGGTGGTGTTGACCAAAAACCAAAAGCAAGCTCAAAATCAATTGAGAAAAAGGAGACTCGATCTCGCAGTCGTAGTCGCTCAAGGTCCCGTTCCCGTTCACAGTTGCATTCACGTAGTCGCTCTCGATCCCATTCACGATCTTCCACTTCGTCCAGCTCAAGTTCTTCTTCATCGTACACTTCAAGTTCACGCTCCAGCTCTGGAGGCTCTCGTTCAGGCAGTCGATCACGCAAATCGGGTCAACGGACCACTTCCAAAGATCGAAAGAATTCACGGTCAAATAGCCTTAAATCTGCACCATCCACACGAAAACGTTCACGAGCACGCTCCAAAACACACTCGCAAACATCGCGAACTTCATCACATAGGTCCGGAAAAGCTGAACGAAAAATTTCTAAGTCACGTTCACGAACAAGATCATCCTCCCGTTCGTCATCGAAATCAGCGAAGCGTAAGCGTCGTGCCTCCCAATCCCCAGCTCGCCCCAGACAAGGACGTGCTCGCAATCGTACACGATCTCGTAGCACATCACGCCATCGCCACTGAGCTCTTGATATAATACATTTGGCTTCTTTAACATACAAAAAATATGTGTATGAATGCAGTAGCATTCCAGAACTATTAATTACGTCTTCTACCACAACCTACTAAGAATATGTACTATATGAATGCCATGAAACGATAAAAAGGCACAAGTTTTGGATATTAAGAACTAAGGTTTATTGAAAATCAATAGGAATTACTACGAAGTACTTTTTTCGCTTCCACAATACAACCCAACTGCGCAGCTCTTACTTTTGTTTTTAATTTATCTATTACAAAGTTATATAACTATTTGTTTTTGTCAAATTTCGTTCTTTCCTTTTGTAACTAAAGGGTAATTATAAATGCTGCATTAAAATTAATGAAATTTGCTTAAGCAACTTGGTTGATGTAGTTAATTACTTTCGAGCTACTTCAACATGTACATATGTAGCTGGGATTATTTATGACTTGTATTGGTCGCGTAAACATCCGAGTTTTACAGAACTTTCAGTTTAAACACAATAAATAATTTAAACGAATAATTATTGTGATAATGTATTCAATTCAAAAACATACTACTCTGGAAATTTTACGAAAATACCAACACTGAATCCGCTATTCGTATTCAGTGATAGGATTTTCGTAGATTGCATGAAAGTTCGACTTCGTCGGATTCAGTGATAGCCCTGGGGGCTACTATGTAATGCGGTGCGAAAGAGAAATGCGATATGATAGGCAATCGGCACAGCGTATTACTACTTACGATGTATTTGCCTATCGCAACGTATTGCTCTTTCGTATCGCATTACAGAATAGGCCCCCTGAGTATCAGGCACGTTCTGCAAATCATTTCCGAGTGAATTTCAATCTTATTTGCTTTGAATTCAAATTGGTAGTAAATTGCAGAACCCGCCTGTATATTTAAAGTATGTAATTAAATACAGCAAAAAATTCAATAAGATCTATGTCCAGGCTCGTGGTAGAATTTTTTGGCCTTACGGGGAAATGGTCGTTGTTGTTGTTGTAGCGGCACTACTAAGCTCCGCCATTTTCCGGTCTACGTTCAATCATTGTCGTCGAGCTCAACTAACGGGAAGCCCAGGAAACGAGCTGTTTCGATGGGTTCGGACCAGAGGGAGAGGGGTGTTAGTTGAGTCGGAAATGGTTTATTTTTCTTCGAGTCCATGTTTAGTGCAAATATCAAATTTAGGCACACGCATATCCCAGCCCTTCACCATCATGGAATTTTTCTCAAAGTTTGGTATATTATTTTGGTTCGAACTTCGAGACGAATATCATTTTTATCTCCTTTACCTGAAATTTACTTTTTTTTGCAGATCTACAATTTTATAAATATCGTATGTTCTTTGAATACCCTTTATAAAAAAGTTCCCTACAGTTGCGAGGCTCGAATCAAAAGCGCGCATATAACAACTCTGTTATGTCATCGGCTTAGTTGTCAAAAAATTTGCATTTCGCTTTGTGGTTAAACTACCCAAGTTTTTCGTGATTTTTCTTTTAATATTGCTCAAAATATTCATAAAAAGGCGACTATTTCTGCAGACACAAAAAGGAAATTAATAGCAATCTCCCATTGATAACAATCAATTATAAACAGCAGC